TAAATGCATGCTTAGGGCATTGTGTGTGTGCCGAGTGCTGCCCTCATTCCACTGTGTGCCATATTGTGGTAGTGGGGCAGCAGCGCTCTCTAACACGCACAATGCCCATTAAAGTGTAAGTTCACTTTCCCAAGTAATTTGGGAAAACGGAATTACACACTTAAATCTGGTCAACTGTCCCCCGCTATAATTACTTTTTGGTGAACGGTCGTTCCCCTGCGCCGGTACGGATGTACTATCTGTACCTCATACTTAGCCCTGCACTAATGGATTTTGAATTTCACTCGGAAATTGCAAGCACTCGTTGGCCAGTGCAGTCAGGTGACCGCGCTGACCAGTGAGAAGTGCTTCTTAGCACGGTCAAATAGAGTTTTAGTTTAAATTATTTTTTGCATCAGGAGAAGTATAATTATGGATTGAGTTACAGTTCTTTATAATGATAAAAAAAATGCACCAAAATCATTAGTCTGTATTGATTTAGAAAAAAAGGTCACATGTCCCTTTAAGAAAAAGTATCGGTAATTGGTATCGGAAAGTACTTGGTCTTGAAAAAAATGGTATCGGGACATTCCTAATTTAAAGTAATATGTATTCAATTATTTTCATATAATAAATGTTTGGGGGTCAATGAACGATCTGAAACTTCAAGAAGGGGTTGAAGAGCTGCTTAAAGAGAGTTTGGGGTACCCTGCTATATATAAAAGAATAGTGTGTATCCTTAGAAGTAGTGTGAAATATAGGTACAGCTCTCCCCGCACATACGTTATTAAGCTCCCCCCATAAACATACACTGTAATAAAAAGGTATAATGAAGAGTACATTGATAATAGCAATGTGGAGTATAGGTACAACTCTCCCTATACACACACTGTAATTATAGGTATAATGAAGAGTATATTGGTAGTAGTGTGTGCTATAGTGTACAGCTCTCCTCATACATACACTGTAATAATAGGTATATTGAATTGTATGTTGGGAGTATTAGTAGTGTGTAAAATAGTGTACAGCTCTCCCTATACACAAACTGTAATAAAAAGGTATACTGGTGTATATATTGGGAGTAGTGTGTAGTACAGTGTACACATAGCCCTATACATACATACAGTTGTGTAAAAAGAAAGTACACCCTCATTGAATTCTATGGTTTTACATATCAGAACATAATAAAAATGATCTGGTCCTTAACAAGTCATACAATTAAGTACAACATCAGATGAACAACAACACAATGACATATTACGCCGTGTCATTATTTATTTTACAAACATAAAGCCAACATGGAGAAGCTATGTATGAAAAACTAAGTACACCCTTAACGCTTCCATAGGAATTAAGAGGCTAAGTAGCAGTGAGGCGCTGCTAACCAAATCCCTCTGATTAACTGATCATCAGTTGATCTATAAAAGCCAACGTTTTAGCAGTTAGCTGGTCTGGAGCAGGTGTGTGTTAACACAATGCCAAGGAGGCAAGACATCAGCAATGATCTTAGAGAAGCAATCATTGCTGCCTATCAATCTGGGAAGGATTATAAGGCAATTGGCAATTTCCAAACGATGTAAAATCCATCATTCTACAGTGAGGAAAATCATTCACAAGTGGAAAACATTGAAGACAGTTGACATCCCAGCAAATTCACTAAGGTCAGACCGTGCAATGCTCAGAGAAACTGCAAAAAACCCAAGAGTTCCATCTCAGACTCTACAGGCCTCAGTTAGCATGTTAATGTTCATGGCAGTACAATTAGAAAAAGACTGAACAAGTATGGTTTGTTTGGAAGGGTTGCCGGGGAAAGCTTCTTCTCTCTAAAAAGAACGGCTTCGGTTTGCAGAGTTGCATCAGAACAAACCACCAGACTTCTGGAACAATGTCCTCTGGACAGACAAGGCCAAAGCGGAGATGTTTGGCCATAATGCACAGCACACGTTTGGCAAAAAACAAATACAGCATATCAGCACAAACAACGTATACCAAATGTGAGGCACAGAGGTGGAGGGGGGTGATGATTTGGGCTTGTTTTGCAGCCACAGGACCCGGGCACCTTGCAGTCATTGAGTCAACCATGAACTCCTCTGTATACAAAAGTATTTTCCAGAGTCAAATGTGAGGCTGACAGCTAAAGCTTGGCCAAAATTGGGTCATGCAAAAGGACAATGATCCCAAGCACAGCAGCAAATCTACAATAGAATCAAGGTGTTGCAGTGGCCCAGTCAAAGTCCAGACCTCAACCCGATTGAAGTGCTGTGGTGAGACGTTAACAGAGCTGTGCATAGACAAATACCGACAAACCACAATGAACTAAAGCAAAGTTGTAAAGAAGAGTGAGCCAAAATTCCGCCACAACAATGTGATAGACTGTGTGATGGAGTGTATATTGGGAGTAGTAGTAGTGGGTAGTACTGACTACATCTCTTCCTATACAGACACACAGTGTAATAGCTATATTGAAGTGCATATTGGTGGTGGTAGTAGTAGTGCACGGCTCTTCCCATACATACTGTATAATAGGTATATTGGGAGTAGTAGTAGATTGTAGTATAGTGCACAGCTCTCCCCATACACATACTGTATATCAGGTATAATTGGAGTAGTAGTATAGTGCACAGCTCTCCCAATACACACACTGTATAATAGATATATTGGGAGTAGTAGTGTACAGCTCTCCCCATACACATACTGTATAGCAGGTATAATGGGAGTAGTAGTATAGTGCACAGCTCTCCCAATACACACACTGTATAATAGATATATTGGGAGTAGTAGTAGTGTAGTGCACATACACACAGTAATAATATCCTCCTTGCACAGGAAGTGGAGCTCGCTGTGGTAATATATTATTTGTATAGCAGCTCGCTATTTAACCCTGTAAAGGCCTCCCTATTCTTGCTCTTCCCAATGCGGCAGTCTGGTCAGAAATAGCAGCTCTCATACACCAGGCCAGCTTGTCAGATGACCACAGTAGATGCTTGTCTCTTATGTAGCTCCCCAGCGCCCCCTGCCTGCGTTCGGCTATAACAATCAGGACAGGCCGAGGATTGGGGGCCTAGTCAAAGCACCGACAAACGCGTCCTTCACCCACCTTTCGGATACGTCTTTTGAGCAGCGCTTCTGCCGCAAATACTCGCTCGCCGACCGCAGAAAGCTCCATGATCAGCACCGCGGGGCCGCGCAGCGCGCTCCCCGTGATGTCACTACCTGTTGCTAGCCTGGTTGCTAATGTGAAAGGATGAACTGTACAGCCATCTGACTGGCTGCCTTACGTTTCCGCCCCCCCGTCCTGTCATTAGGGTGACGTGAAGGTAATGAGTAACGGCTCTCACGTCACCCGCACCAGGGGGAGAGCCTCTGACTGCCGAAGTGACGTCACGCCGGTTTTGCTGTGTAAATAGACGTGACAGCTACAGCTGAGAGAGAATCCTGTCCTGCAGGATAATGGCTGATTTACTGACCTCTTGACGTCATTAATCACAGCTGTTATACTGCTCTCCAGAGAACACATATCTATTCTTTCTATGCTTTATCATAGCATAAGAAATGCTATGCATATCATAGCTTTCTAAGTGATCGGGCTAGGAGGGACAATATAACAATGGACAAGTTGGATGTTTAATGGCGGCCATACACGCATCAATAATCGATTGATGTATAATCGATGGACAAACTCCAGGGCGATGGTCATCGATAGCCCCCCAGCAGTGGAATTTTGATTAACTGTGCAGCGATCTGATTGTAAATGATTGCTTGAAAAATCATTGCTCACTCAAAGCAGTTTAATTCAACTAATCGATTTATCTCTATATATCCCCCCACAGCCTTTCATGATAAAACATGTACTAAAAATGACTGGAAAACTTGTGAGAAAGCAGAACTTTCTTATACTGACCCTAACAACCAATCAGAGTCTCCCGTTCCTGTTGCTGGGGAAGGTTAGAATGTGATGCTGACCACACACATCAATAGGGATGCACCGATACCTCGATGCCAAGTATTTGGGCGGGTACTCGTACTTGCCCAAATGCTTCGATAACTAGCCCGATACTTTCGGTATCAGGAAGCCGGGCAGTGAGTCATTACACGCTGCCTGGCTTCCTGATTGGCCGGGAAGCCGACTAGGTGATGAAGGAGCATTGAGCCGGCTTCCCGGCCAATTAGGAGGCCAGAAAGCATGTAATGACTCGCTGCCCGCCTTCCTGATCAGTTGGTCAATCAGCTGGTCAATCAGGAAGCCGGACACTGTGTAATGACGCGGCGCCCGGCTTTCTGATTGGCCGGGAAACCGGCTTCATGCTTCCTTATCCCCTCATGACAAGGGAGCATGGAGCTGGCTTCCCGACCAATCAGGAAGCTGGGTGCCGCGTCATTACACGGCGCCCCGGCTTCCTGATTGGCCAGAAAGCCGGCTCCATGCTTTCTCGTCACCTAGTGACGGGAAAGCATGGAGACGGCTTCACTGCTAATCAGGAAGCCGGGTGGCGAGTCTTTACACGCCGTCTGGCTTCCTTAATAGGACTTCCGGTATCGGTATTGGCGAGTACCGGAAAACAAATATCGGTACTCGCACATACCGAAAAACCGGTATCGGTACATCTCTAAACATCAATTCAGCTTTATTTTTTTAGGTTCAGTTAGAATGATTGGTCCTATGCATTGAATAATTTCTATAAATTCCAAAACTGGAGCAGACAGAATCTGGAGCAGCTGTTCATGGCAACTAATCAGCTTCTATCTGACATTTTCAAATCTAAAGATGTCCATACACCTTACAATTATCTGCAGATTTTCTGTGGTCACATGGAAAAAGTGCAACAGATTGGCCCAGGTGGAGATTCCTCCATCCACACAGTTTAGCGTAGATGGAGGAATCCGTTGCACCTTTTCCATGTGACCACAGAAAATCTGCAGATAATTGTAAGGTGTGTGGCCAGCTTTAACTGAACAAATTGAAGAGATAAGCTGATTGGTATTCACAGGCAATTGTTCCAGATTTTATCTGCTCCAGATTTTGTCTGCTCCAGATTTTGTCTGCTCCAGTATTCATAAATACCCCATTGTAGTTTTTTTTTTTTTTTTTATTCCATTTCAAATGAAAATCAAAATGATGATCCTGTTGATTCAAGGAACGTTTTTTGCACTAAAAGGATTAAATGGAAAATAACCTGTTAGGTATCCACACTACAACCTCATTCATAATGATTTATGTAGTATTAAACACGCTGACTTTTTTTCAATAATGAATCCAGATCAAACAAGTAAACATTTCACAGGAAAGCAAAACACTTAGTGCCCATTCACACTGAGTGTTTAAACGCGCGATTTCTGCCGCGATATCACTCATATTTGCCGCGCGATATTGCGAGAAGTCGCTTGACCAATGATCTTCGATGGAGCTGTTCTATTCTACAGCTGCATGTCGCCTGTCGCGCGTCGCTTGTGCAGGAGTCATTACACGCTGCCTGGCTTCCTGATTGGCCGGGAAGCCGACAAGGTGACGAAGGAGCATTGAGCCGGCTTCCCGGCCAATTAGGAGGCCAGGAAGCATGTAATGACTCGCTGCCCGCCTTCCTGATCAGTTGGTCAATCAGCTGGTCAATCAGGAAGCCGGACACCCTTTTTCCAGCGGATGTCGCACGATTTTTCTATTTTTGCATGCAGCCCGACGGTGAAGGTCGCCGGAACGTCGCCCGCAGTCGCGCTATCCCGGCCGCGCGGAAATCCGCTCAAGGTAAGTGTCGCTTAGTGTCAATGGGGCCTTCCAGTCATCATATTTCTGAACAGCTCCGACTCTCTCAGATCAGCTTCCCTGAACTTCCTGTCCAGTACAAGCTCACAAGGGTTGGAGAAGTCTCCAGCAGATGACCATCTACTAGCTTGGAGGAGGGAGTAGCGGGAACAGGTAAGTGTCTTGTCTTGCTGCGCCTGTGTGTCATTTACTGATTTAAGGCATATTCCACTTTTTGCAAAAAATGAACACAGCAAGGCAATTTCTGTCCCCACATAGAGGTCACACTCATCGCTCGTCGGGGTATGTGTTGGATGATCCGAAGCTGGAAGGACCTGATGTGTTAAGCAGGAGAGAGGTG